AGGGAGAACCCATACTAACTCCATCAATTTGTTCATAGTATGTATCTTTAAACAAAAAATGAGTGCCTGAAGTAGCAATGGTCAATAATTTGATTAAGTTATTCTTAGTGATTTTTAATTCATTGTTATGACTATAAATTGAGTTAGCAGCAAGTTCAATCGTTTCTTTGAGCGGAATGTTGGTAAATAAACTTTCAACGTCAAAAGAAACCATGACTTTGTTTTTTAAGTTAAGGTTGCGAATCTCGTTAACAAAACTAAAAGAATCTTTCGAACTATACTCAAGTGAGACACAAGGTCTAATAAGATTACTTAAATACTGAGACAAATTATAGTTGTAAGTACTAATTGAAGAAACTATGGGTCTTAGCGGGGGTGATCCATCATGTTTTCTGTTTTTATGCATTTTTGGGAGGCCATAAATTCTTGCTGGATATGAACCTTTGGGATAAATATTATTGTAAACTTCGTCTGTGATTTGGTTTTCCTTTTTTAATTTTCGTAATAGCCTTTTTAGACTTTCTTCTTTCTTTATTGTAGGATCATCACGGAGAATTCTTTAGGTATCACACCATTATTGGCATTCTTTGAGTTCCCCTGGATTTCCATTCAAATATCGTAGAAAAATGATGTACACTAATAGGAATCTACAAAATATTGGACGAGGACCGTCACGCTAGAAAAGCGACACATGCGATAATTCATTGTTCAAACTAAGTTACTACAGTACGGCGGAAGCAGGAGAGTATTACTTCGTTATACAGCATGTGGTCAAACTTACCATTTTAGTGAGTGTTGCTGATACAAAGGCGTGTGTTAACATAACGGAATAATATATAGGCCTCTATTAATTACTAGTCAGTACATGATGAATAATGAATGTCTAAACCTATCAAAATATTTTAGCATCCATCATAGATGAGTCTTTTTGAAATTTTGTGTATTCGAACTTGTATTTCATTTGCAAAGGTTTTTCAAAAATTATAGTTATAGACACAGCAGTATTCAATTATGCTTTTGAATATTAATCTTCTATTCACAGCAATCCAGTATTTGGCCAACTGACGGATTGCGTAAACATTTATGACATCCCTAGGACAGATGCAGAGGGGGTGATGGTTGGAGACGACCTCTCCCCCACTGAGATTTTAGAGTGTCTTGTAGCAGCTAAAAAAAACATTTGAGAATACTTTTCAGGCTAATTAAATATAATGTTTTGTATTCAAGTCCCTCAAAATACAAAATAAAAAGACGGGCACGTCATTTAAACTTATGTTATTTAATGCGCTTTTTACATTTTGGACATCCTTCTTCTAATATCTGGACCAACCCCAGTACTCACAACCTCGCAAAAAGCCGCTTAAGTATCTGTGCACACAGCTTGGTCGTCATAAGGCACTGGAAACAGTTTTTGTTTGCTATTGGTTAACCATCGCTAGGGTACAACAACTTTGAATCATACACTAACGATTTAAGAATTTGGTGCCTATACATAGGCCTAAAATTCTAACTTTTATTACATGTACGTTTTGCTGAAGCTGAATGCTTCGAGAAATATTTTTACACTTTTTAAGGAGTTCAAATACATAACGTATTGTTAACAATATGCAGGTATCAGCCAATTTTCTTTTTTCTTATAAATGAATATCATTGTATGAACTTTAATGGTTATTTTCTTCTTATACACTAAATGGTAATAGCTATGTTTATTCAGAAAGTAGAAATTTATAATATCAAATACAGGTGAAAGTTGCAATTTGTGATATCTTTCGGATTTAAGTCTAGAACTAAGTCAAGAATGTGTTAAAGCAAGCATTTTATCTAACTAGCTAAGTAACATCTCAGGTATAAATTATTAAACATAATAGTAAATACTGAATCCTTTATTTATTGTCTTCATTGAAGAGCTGAATTACAGTGGTCTTTAATTTAAGTTTTCGTTTGAAACTATTAGAATTTGGTACTTTCGTCATTTCAATGTTTTACTTTGATCAATCTCTTATTATATAACTTAATAGCATGTATGGCATTACAGGTATTATCGATAGCTGGATAAAAAAAATTTCTTAACTAACAGAAGGCAAAGAGTTATTTATAGAGGAGAGAAGTCAGAGTGCATTAATGTAACATCTTGGGTCCCTCAAGGTTCTGTGTTGGGACTCTTCCTAATTTATGTTAGTGACATTGTAAATGATATCTCATCATCAATATTTCAGTTTGCAGATGACCATACTCTTTCCCACCAAATCAATAATATTAGGGACTGTATTGCTCTTCAGCAAGATCTTGAAAAGATATACAATTGGTCAGTTGTAAATAAATTACTTCTAAATGTATCTAAATGTGCTACTATGCATATAAGTAAAAGTAAGAACCCAATTAAATGGGATTATAAAATAGATAATATTTACTTAGAAAAAGTAAATGAATTTAAATTACTTGGTGTTTTTATACATAATAAACTTTCATGCTATACACAAGTAAATTATTTGTTCTAAATCATGACAATTACTAGGTTTTATTAATAAGTATAGTAAAAATATGTCATGGGCTGTAATGTTAAATCTATATAAAGCATTGATTCTTCCATTTATTACGTATTGTTGTGCAATGTGGGCACCAGGTGACAAAACTAATATTAATAGAATTGAAAGAATCCAACGTAGAGCCACCAGAATAATTACGTTTAAAAAAGATGGTGACTGGGACGTACATTATGAAGATAGGCTGAAAACGCTTAACATATTAAGCATAGAAGATATTTTTAAATATCACCGGCTTGTTCTTGGTTTCAAAGTTCTTCATAATGTTTGTCCCCCAACATTAACAGAGTTTGTTCATAAGAGTGAGCGTTGTGAGGGTAGGCTTATTCACTGGAAAGCCAAAAGCAATATTTTTCTTAATTCTGCTTTCGTGTCTTTTCCCAGGCTCTGGGAAGAACTACCTCCTCTACTTCAAAACTCTGTTAATGTTTCCTATTTTAAGAATAATTTAATTAAGCATTTTATTTCATTTTATGTTTCAGATTAGTTCTGATTGTTTTTGTGTATTTCATATTATATGAAGGATGGGATATATTAATAAATATTGTTCGGGCTTTCGCCCATTCCCTATCCGGGCAATTCATGATGTTTTTCTCCTATATGCTTTTTGCCAAATAAATATTATTATTATTATTATTATTATTATTATTATTATTATTATTATTATTATGTGTCTGCAAACTATTGTGAATTTGTAAGATAGTCTCGTATATTCTTTTTTGTAAACCTGTATAAATATTTATTTTGTATTATGAATTCCGTATTAAAAGTCTGTAATATCAGCAAAAAATATAATTATACCAAAGTAATTATTATTTGTGTTAAATGTGCAACTTATTGTTTTAATAATGTTATTGAGTTTGAAATTAAAGATAGGTTATGTCTTATGTATTTCAAGTTGCATTCTCTTCTGTTTGTACTTTGTACCATCATACTCAAGTAGGTAGATCATAGTGACAATGTTTGAGATTTATATCGCTTATCTTACAAATGGGTTTCAATATAATAATATTTTCAATGTTTTTTTTTGTTTTTTTTAAACTTGACTTTTAGAAACTTTTTGTAACAATATGTTGAATTTTTCCAGTTTTTACCTTCAAAACATTTTTATAATGAGCCAAAAACCAATTTAAGAACAATTACAGGCATACATAATAGTTTTGCCTATCGTTTTAAGAAAATACCTCAACTGTTCTTAACAGTTCAGTAAATATATAATATTAATATAAAACATCAATATGAAAAACAAAAAAATCAATACAAAATGTATGTAATATATTAAGTTATTTAGCTTTCACTTACTCTATTTTTCATATGTATTTTTACATATCTATTCATTTTATTCAATTATTTTTGCTACTATAATCATATTATTAGAGGAAAACTTACCACTAAATGACTAAATAATACAATATATAAAAGATGGAGAAAACTAACAAAAGAAGTAGATAAAAAGTAAAAAAAGTAAACAAAATATTAACTGAACGACTGATTAAACATATATATATATATATATATATATATATTATATATATATTTATATTCTACAATATACACATAAATACTCTACTAGATTAGGTATTGACAAGCTTAAAAAAACAATCTCAGCAAAGCAATTTTGACATGGTTAAATCTTTCATTTATTTAAAATTCTACTGGCTTATAGCTTTAGTAGATTTTTGTCGAACAGCCTTATAACTGGATGACTAATAACGCATTGATTTTATGTCAAAACATTAAACGTGATAGGATTGGCTTTTTGACTTCTGATGATTTAAGTTTAATACAAACACGTAAAATATAATATATAATATTATTATCATAATAGCATTTGGTACATAATTACAATACACTCCGAGTTTCTTTCATATTCTTCCTATATTCTTTGATATTCTGTCTAAAAATATTCATGATTAGTAGAACACATTTATTAAATTACACACACATATTTTCGTTTTTACTTTCTAGGCTGGGTCTAGGTAGATACGTGTTAATTATTGGCAAATATCTACCTAGACCCAGCCTAGAAAGTAAAAACGAAAATATGTGTGTGTAATTTGTCGGATGTCCTGTTCTTGACCATTCTAAAGTCACTATTAGATAGGGTTATAATTACTTATAAGACTTCTACGAATGCTACATTGTTCGAAGCAAGAATCCAAGTTGTCTTTACCAATTATTCCTCGATTATATTAAATCGGCGGGAAATTAGAGAAGAGCATCAACTTTCAAATGCTGGTCGCTACAAAAGAAGATAATTTATTTTGCTGATTAGTAATCTGGGTATTTACATACGTATCTTTTAATTTGAGTTTTAAATTAATAATGTATAACTAATTGGTGATAAAGTATAACTAATGGTTGATAAAATTGTGTAAACTATTATTATGAAAATTGCAGGAGTGGATTGGTGATGTAGCTTACCTATTTTGAAACAAACGTGTTACAGTTTTGAAAATTTATCTTCTGTTATTTCCCGATTGCCATAACCGTCGTTAGTACAATATAGATTTACTTCAGCATTTCTGAAACATAAGTTAGTCATGAGACACATAATTATAAGTTCATCAGGGGCCTGCTTTATCGAACTAGAAATCAGCTTAAGTTCATATAAAGTCCATTTTTATGCTTATGTCAAATTTACCACTATTGCCTTAACTTAAAAATTGCTTAAAATTAAAAAGTCGATTTTACGCATGAACCATCTAAGAAGATTTTAAGCTAAGATTTTGCTTAAAAAAATGGTTTGATATTAATCAGCTTTAGATATTTGCCTAGGGACTAAGCCTTTTTAGACTTAAGACATTTGCTAAGCTAAGACTGATAAATCCCGGGCCTGAGGTTTAAGAAAGCAGCAAAAATAGGCCTAGGATGAAGGTTTTATAGAGTTATTTTACTTTGGTTATTTTGTTTTGGTTTCTTGCTTTTCGGACAATGTCAGTTTTTTTTTTTAATTATTATTTTTGAATGTAGAAAGAATATAAATCATCAAATTATAATTCTTATTATCCATTGTTATAGAATACTCCATTTAAATATGGTGGGTGGTGGGTGGTGAGTGGTTGTAGTAATGATGGTGGTGGTGATAATAAACTAAATATTTAATATTTTAATATACTATATTTATTTCTTGTTTTACTTATATGTTTATAAACTTTACTTGGCAATGTGTGTATTAAAAAAAAAATGATTTTAAAATACATTTGTATTTTTTATGGAAAAGTCAATAAATGCACCTTGAATATCCTAAATCTTGAAAAAATAATTGAATTTATTGCAAATACTCAGGATACAGTAAAAAAAAAAAGCCCGGTGGATTAGTTAGACAACTGTATTTACATACAAAATACCGATTACATTACATGTATAAATTTTCAACATAAAAATGGCACACTAAACCAATCGTTGAAGCTATAAATAGTACAATTGTTAGGGTATGCCCATTTTAACCACTTGAATAAATATGTTATTGAAAAAATCAATCATTAATATTATTAATAATTATTAAGATATAGAAAAGATTATGCCATATAAACAATTCAACTCTCCCTGAATAATTACGTACAATTGATTTTTCAATTAATCTTTAATCAGAGCTTAGCACACTAATTATCAAGGAACCCTGCTGTAGGGCAATAAGATGTTGTTAACCTAGTATCAATATGATTATATATGATTCCTTTGCGCTCGTATCGAACGGTCATGTGTTTATTATCTGGTTTTAGCCAACAACAATATATATATACAGTAGCCGAACATTTCAATTTAGCTGGTCATTCAATTTAAAATTTCAGAGTGATTGAAATTGACCATAATGCCAATTGGAGCGACAAAAATCGCAAAGATAAAGAGAATCACTGGGAACTTTTACTTAAAACCACCACGCCATTTGGACTCAATATTAGGAACGTTGTCCCAGTACACTAAATTAAACCTATGGCATTCCAAATTATTCTGGATAAATCATTTGGCTTATTCATTGAGACATGCCTCTAAAGTTTATTTTTGGCCTTCCTGTTTATTTGTTTAGGCTGTTCATTCTAATCCCACCTAGCCTATTGTTTCTAATCATTGCATGAAATTCTCACTTTATACTATCTGGCTTTTTCAACCCTCACTCACTCGCCACTGAGGAAGGACTAGTGTTGTCCGAAAGCTCTGGTTCTATTTCTGGCTGTTTACTTACGTTTACTTTTTAGGTGCTTATCATTTTTGTATCTCTACTGAGATCCAGCCATTGTTTCCCACAGCATTGTTGTTTTCCAGTATTTTGCCTTTTAATCTACATATATATATATATACATATATATATATATATATATATATAT